ATTTATCAACCGATTTTTTCCTCATTTCATCACATCCGTGCCCTCCAAACTATCGATTAGTTCAAATCCATATGTGCCCCAATCAGGCTGAAAAACAAAGTTGTATTTCTGGACTATAATGTCAATTGTAACTTCCACAGTCCCCACCCCCACCCCGAGGATATGGAAGCACATTATTCTCCTTTCACACTCCTCGTATAGCTTTGATTGGCATTCATTAGTACCTAGGAGTAGTGGTGAAACCTTTTTTCATGCCAATGTAAAACTATGCATCCTCACTTACGTTGTATTCCTCAATGCCAGTAACTAGTTGATCATATGTTCTTACAGTCAGTGGGATCTAGGATAACCCAGTCAAGATATAAATCACTCGGTTTGGGCATATATATATATATATATATATATATACTATATGGGTACGGGAAGATTTGAGCAAGAAAAGAGAACGAGGAAAGGTTAATTGGTGCACGCGTTTACACAAACCACAATACCCCGGACTCGCCTGGTCCGGTCCAGGCCAGCCCCGCCCTGCCCCTTTTCGGGGCTTAAAATGTGAGTGATCGTCCGGGATCTGGTTTCCGGAGGCTCTGCGATCACACCGGTGTCCATTTGTTGTTTGTTTGCACGGGGTACTGGTGTGTATTTTCAATCACTCACGGATCACCACAGTATGATGCCTCAAAGCAAACACACACATAAGCAACAACAAATCCGGAATGACGTTGGAATGTAAACATCTTGTTGAACGGTGTAGAGAACTGTCTTCCGCCGATCCGGTTCAAATCAACAGTGAACGATTAAATGAGAGAGAGAGAGCATTCGGCGTTCAAATCATATGACACATCAGGGCATAACAGCGGAGAACAGGCTGACCATGGCATTCCCCTCAAAATCGTATTTTGACTAAATAACAGTCTAAATTCCACAAAAAAACGTGGATGAGGAGTATAATAAGTTGAACTGTTATCGCTTGAAAGCGTGCACCATAAAAGGATCACCTTGTCCCGCACCGTTCCACGTTCGAATGTCAGGATTTTACGCTAGTCCAGAAAAACATCTTCCCTTGTACTTCTTGCTGTTATACTCCTGATTATTAATGAATAGCTAACTACATGAAGACAACGACAACAGGGTCGGTTTCACTCAGTGTTTTCCTTAGCAAGCTGTAACTGAACACATCATGAATTATTAATTTGGCAAGTGTATCAGTATGAAGATGTAGTAAATTATCGCCATCTAACGATAAGTTTCTGTGACCAGGAGGGTTAGATACAACAGCACATAAGATATCTGAACTTAACCAGTTTCACTGAGAAGATGCGCACTGACATCCGCCCCGGGTGACTTTCATCATATTATTGATTTTTTCAGTCACGTGTCCCATGCGCTTTTACTCAACTTTTATGGATTGCTGGTGTTCTCTTGTTATTATTATATGATGTCATATAAGACCGTAATGATACCGAAATCAATAACTAAACTATTCATTCAGAACTGTAAGTGCATTACGAAGCTATTGACAATGTGATGGTCTGGCACAAACAGTTATTTTCCCCCAAATGAGATGACTCCATTCGCTTTATTTCAGAATTTGATGAGAATAAAAACGATAGAACAGAGTGAGAGCATTTTAGATAAAACATCATCGATATGGATGACATATTATTCATAGTAAACCAAAAGTCCTCGTCGAAAAAGTCTGGAATACTGAATGAATTATACGAGTAGTGGACAGGGCATCCTCCTGTTGGACACATACAGAGAGTATTGAATAGCTAAACAACATGGGGTTCAGTTCATATACTAGGTTGACATCAACTTTTATGGTGAAAGTGCGTTCGAGACCATTTTCCAAAAGAATTTGAAAATGTGACTGAGTTTATTGTCTGCACGGTGGTTTCGCACCGATCGGGTGACAAACGATTCACCAAACTCTTGCATTTTAACCTCGTAAGTCAGTAGGATACATGCAGATATCAATAGGTGTTACCCATGAACGTGAAGGGATTTATCGAATTTTCTTCCGTATCCGATCACCACAATGATTATGATCAGACTGGGAGAATGGAGAACTCAGTTTGAGGAAGGCAAAATGGTAACAAGAAATATGAATGCCCAATAAGAAATGATGGTGTAGTAATCGGTATTGCAGTGTTCTTTAACTGTCAATCTCAGAATGTTTTGGCATATTCTTCCATATTAAAAAGTGTACTAATCTGAGAACAACTCGATTCATATTACCACAGTCAATTTATTGAGGATGGTTGCGCAAACACCTGCTTCGTGGATTGAAGTTCGCAGTCAATCACTTCACTTGGCATTTTCTCTCTAATAAGAATAGTACTGCTAAAGAATATGAAACCTTTTCAAAAAAGAAAGTTCGTATTAGAGAAAATTTGTGCTTAAAATTACGGTATTATATTATATTTCACATTTGTCTGAGGACAGACTGTGTGCTAGGCAAATCATGGTACAATAATCTTTATAAAAAAGAAAAACGTTCCATGATTGGCTTGTGGGTTGAATGCTGCCAGGTTACCCAGTCCAAAGTAGGTGAATTTTCTTGAGGAATTCACAACCGAATCCATCGGTTAGCCGAAGCCTAGCCCGCAACGCAGCAGCCGGACGGTGTGTGAAAACCGCAGTCCATTGGGAGCCGGTGTCCAGTTCATCGGATCATTCACCCTTCGGACGGGGTCAAACGTCCAAGGTGCCCAATACACCTCAATGCCCAATTGAGAGCCGGTGACCACTGGCCACAATCGAAAAGTTGTGGGTGTGGTTGATGCACCTCCTCATGGTTGGTTCGGAATCAGGGTTTTTGGAGGCTTAAAATTACCGTAATAGTCTGAGGTCCTGTACTGGGATTGCCTTCAATTGTTCGATGTGCATTTTTCGACCTCTCAACTCCACTTTGGGAGGCTAAAATTCATTCTAACCCTTCCAACCCAGTTAGTGTCTGAGCAAATCAGTAACTCTGTGGTGTGGGAGTCATTCATGTATCGGATGTTGTTAAGACCAAATTCCAACCGCGAACGCTATGTGTAACGACCTTGGCAACTTGCCATTCCGTTTGAGTGTAAGTCGTGTTCATGTTTCACTGGACCACTTGGTTCATGGCGTCTGTATTTTCCTCTCTTGCAGATTGTCAGTTCACCCTCTTCACGGAAAACCTCCTGTCTGTCGACTGTTCCAGTCCACACCTAAGCTCGGCCCACTTGCGGTTGTCTGGTGTATTCGTTTACGGGGGACATTCTGCGGCACACCCGAGCCAAGCATCTTACATATGCACAGTAATTTAGGGCCCGTAACCCAACACAGAAAATCAGAACACAAAAGAGAGCTTGCGGATCGGAATCGGGTTAACGATTTAATAAATGATTGTGAGAGTAGAACAGTCGATTAAACGATGGCCGTAAATAAGGTCAAGCTGGCGCATGGACAAAACGGATTGAAGGAGTATTCGTCAGTGTCTGTCATGACCAGCTGTGTCGCGTGATTGGATGATCTATGGGAACTGATAGACGAAGACGTACGTAGCATATGTCAAATTCATGCTAACCAATGGCATTTCTTGACTATTTTCAATTCACGCGAAACAAAAACGCGTGAAGTGAAAAATTAGGGAACGCTGCACAATTGTTTCCACCGGTTCGGATCCCAACAGCAGTGCAAATTCATCAACCCCTAGTGAAGAGCACAGCTGGGACCTCGATACTCATAGTGCACAAACCTATTGCTCACAAGAACGTCGGCAAGCTGATCAGACCGCTTTTCATTTGGCTTGTATAAACGATACCGCAATCAATCTCTGTAAACCTGCATCAAACAGGATTCTGATTCGTTTTGAAATTTCCCAAACCGGTCAACATATACATGCATATATATATATATATATATATATATATATATATATTCTTTAGGAATATTATTCTTTTTCGAGAGAAAATGCTAAGTGAAGTGACTGACTGTGAACTTCAGTCCACAAAGCATCAGACAAATATAAAAACGTTCTCGTTAACTTGACCGCTGCAACCTGGATCGAGTTGTTTGCAGATTAAAAACACTGTAATATGGAAGAATATGCTAAAAAAAGCTGAGACTAACAATTAAAGAGCGCTACACTACCGATCTCCCCGCTGGTATTTCTCAACGCACATTCCTGTTTCACATTATCATTATCCCTCCCTCATGCTGAGTTCACCATTCTCCAGATCGTATTCAGTCGCACCATTGTGGTGATCGGATACGGTTGATGAGACAGAGAAGAAACATCTTGGTAACTACGATCAACTATCTATCTATCCNTAGCACCCATAATTTCAAATTCAAAAGATCAGGCAGTTTCGCACTTCTCAGTCAGTTACGTCTACTTTTGTACGTCATTGCATGTTCCTCATCTCACATCATTGTTCTCGATTATTTCCCAGACTTTGTTGAACAATGCTTCAAAGTCTTATATACCGCGCAGTCTAACGATCATTAACCACCTTTGTTCAATTTCTGTGAAACAGTTAGTTGTGAAACATTCAAAAAAAAGGTGTCTTGTGTATCAATTTTTGTGAAGACCCTAATCACCCATTGCACACGTTTTCATTCCCATCCTTTCCCACACGCTTGGCATTCCGACAAATGCCAACTCGTATAAACCTTCACCGAACTTTACCTATTCTATGTCTGGTATACTCACCCATAACCAACGAGAGGACAACAAGTGACCCTCATCTTAACCTCGGACTATGAAATATTTCTATGCCGTCAGTGAACAATCTTTTCCCCCGGGTAAATATATATATCTATATGCTGTGTGACGCGGTTGTCATGTACAGTTTTGTTAGACCGGACTGTAAGCCTCAGTGTGTGTAAAAGCTACACACAATATACTAGCTAGATATTTTGCGTTAAAACAGTTGTGCATGTGAGTATGAACAAGATACTCTGAAAAACAAACAGACAATTAGATGAATAGGAAATGAAACTGTCATCAAAATGATGAAAACCTACTCTAGATCCATGACTGCACTGAGCACGGAATTATCAGTCAGCATCAACGAGGTCTCGTCCAAACTGTCCATGCGACAAAATGATGTTCGCACGTTCACGGGTGTAAGCGGAGTTCGAACAATTGGCGCTTCTTCACTAAACGAATCAGAAACTGTAGACGGTTGTGTTGTCCGGGCTGAGTCGGGCACAACGGGCTGTCTCCTCGGATGTGGAAAGTTCACAAGTGAGCCTAAACCGGCTGTGGTTGTGGCCAGTGAGCTTTCGTCATCACTGAAACTGGCCTCCTCGTGAATGCGATTTCTGTGATGCTCCATATTGGATGGATCGGGACGTTTGGTATCCGTCCACGGTTTTGGAATGTGAGCGAATGAGCGACTGCTCCTCGTAGGTAATGCTGTCGGTAAATAGAGTTGTTGTTAAATAAAGGTCAGTATCGGTAATTCATGTTACTGTGTTATGTAACTCCTGAAAATAGAGGTAATGACTGGGGTCAGTCGTGATCACGTATTGGTGTTCCCTTACGGTCCAATCATCTCGACTAAAAGCCACAACATGCTATCTGGAATAAAGAAACACCCCGGTTACTTGTTGTTTTGCTTTGACGAAGAAACGAATGCGTGCCAGTTGGCAGACTGTCGTGTTAGAACTGCTTCTCCTCCTCCGGGTACTAAATAAATGTGACCCCGTTGTCTAGTGCAAACAGTTATCTGATGCACACTGAGCTGTTGGAGTGAACCAGCACTTTAAATTCTGTAATTTAGCTGAACACATGCACCGTTGTCAAACTGGAATCATAATTAAATTGACGCCTCGATGATTCATTTTCAACCACTCTAATTGTAATCATCACACAGTCTTATCTGATTGGTGCATATCTTCCGACGATTTTCTATCACAATTCACCCACATCTAACCCACACATTTGACATCCCTGGTTTCTCATAATTTGCCCTTGATCTAATCTCCTTTGTGATGGGTTTGCATTAGCCGAGCACTTATAGGTTGCTCTAATGAAATTTATCTCTCTCTCTCTCTCCTCTTCTCATATTATTCATAGAACAAATTGATCAAACCTTGTAGACTAGTGTGTTCACATTTTGCGCCTATTTCATTCATACTTTCTTTTCACTTTTAACATACTGATTTCACTTCTCTTTCTCCTTACTAGTCCAGACACAACATTTAACACGTCCTACCTCGCCTGGTGAGGAATTCCCACACACATCCTCCCTGGCTCGTGGTCTGTTTAGCAAGTGGGAAAATAACCGTTGTGATTCTTTTCGTGCCGTGTAGTCATCCTGTCCTATCTCAGTGAACGCGCATTAACTATCTATGGTTGCTTCAATTCTGTGTAGTTCGTACATAATGCACTGGGTTTGGACTATCAGACTATGGGACCGACCAGCGTACACAGCTGCTTTCTCAATACGTTGAATAGTGCGTCACTCGGGTTTGGAATGAAAGCATGCCGGCTTAGTATGAAAAAAAAGAACTTTCAGTTGAAGGCTAACCTTCAGTTCGCTGAGGAACTGGGCGCTTTGCTGAGACCACTGATGATTTTTCATTCGGGCGAAGGTCACCAGCTGACAGTGGGGCGGTACTACCTGGAATGTGTGTGGTTCTGCACGGGGATTGTCGATCCACACTTTCCATGCTTGAAGAGTCCTTCTTGGATGATCCCATGGCTGCTTCTTTCAAGCTAGCTAATAGGCTCGCCTCAAAACTGGCCGATAGATCGTCCGCTAGCTCGTAATCTCCCAGGTCCAGTGGAGCCGTCGGTGGTGTCGACAAAGTTTTTGGAGGCTTTAAAAACTCCATATCCGTTTCTCTCAATTTTTCCCAAGTTTCCACGTCAGCTTCCGGATCAACAATTTCGGTCGAAAAATTGTATTTCATTCTCGAACCGGTCTATGAACGAAAGACGGAGAATGAATAAAAGTGTTTACTTCAACTGGGAACACTCTGACTGAAAGATTTTAATTGAAGCCTGCTGTCACAACTATCCTTCTTTTAATTACCGCAAGCTTTGAGTTCAATTTCCACCAGCCAAATTTCTGTCTTTGCTTTTCCGTTATATTTTCACACGCATTTACAATTGATTTAATTTCCTGTGCTTCTGTCTGAAGAAATTATCGTAATTGTTTACATCACTGGAAACATCGTACGAAAATAACGACTTCAAAGTTTCATCCATTTGGGAGTTTTTGCCGGTTTTCTGGAATTCAACTGACAGTTCTTTACCCCAGTTTTTGGATCTAACGAATCGCGTATTTCAGCCGCTCGAAAATTGGCATTTGAACCAGTGAAACTGTGAGTTACTATTTTTCGTTCCTTAAAGCCAAACGAAAATTTTCTAGGGCCGGAAACATTCAGAACACATGGTGACAAATGACAGTAAGGCAATGGTATGGTGAAACAACCCCGTGTGGATCGATGGGCACCCCGGTTTCTTCACACGGTCCCGAGGTCACACGAAAAAATATTAAACAAAAACAGAATATCTATCGAATTTCCCAGATTTGTCAATCAGAGATTAGGGATCCGGGCTTTTCTGCACTTTAATTACCCTAGAACATGATTGACAAACGTGCACCCATAGAATACCAACGGTGATGTAACTTTGAACGGTAGTACTGAATATATAAATTCTAGTACAGTTGGAAGTTCCAAATCAGATATAAATTATTGGCTCTCATTAAAAATAACAAAAAGACCAAAAGTGTCAATAACTGCATTGCATTAAGGTTGGATCAAGAGTAATCTGTTCAATAAATGTCATAAACCAATGAATATCGTGACGTATTCTTGCAGGTGTTGTAATCAGCGTTTATCAGATTCATTTTGAAATTTTGGGGGGCCTCAAATCTCTGATTCAGTTTAGCTGTGGGAAACCGAATCGAATCGTTTTACTGCATACCTCTGATGTATGTCTATGTGTCTCTGTTCGGAATCTAGTCTTCATTTTAGGTCGTTAATCGGAGTATTTCTCAACACAGACTAGAATGTATTTTTTCTGATCAGTTTGTTCCATCAGTGGTTATCAGTGAATAGATTACATAACTGTAGGTGAATGTTCCTCGAAAAACGTAGTTGCAATCTTCGATAGCTATGCATTCCCTGTGCGAGTTATCGGATACTATAAAGTCCATTGAATCACCCTAGCGTGAAAATTCGTGCATGATTTGCCGACTATTCTAGTGGAACTTCTCATTCTTTATTTGGAAACCCTCTCATCATCATTCCGTAGAAATGGACCTGTTGTTCAAATAGACATCAATGTTATGTGAACTCATTGTGGGTGAAACAAGGTAATGGTGACAACATAATACAATATACATCGGTTACACCTTCTTCAATCAACATGTGTTGCAGCATACAACATCCACGCCTTATTTCTTAACCAAGCTTTGCAGCATCAACTTTCATAGAAAATAATTATTTTCTACATTCGTTGGCCTCAGAATATTCCGATACTTTTTTTATCTGACTCGCCTACTGCGGCGTGGCTAAATTTTGTCCGTTGAGGCTAAAGGAATGTGGGTCTTGGTTAAATCATTTCGGGCTTTGGCTAAAGGAATACGGGTCGAGGCTGAAGGATTTCAGGTTTTGGCTAAAGCTTGATGGGAAAAGGTGTAGTTACAGAGATCGGGAACGTTTGGATTGTACCAATGCTTATTTGTATAGCGGAGAAAAATATAGCAAACAAGCTTGTTTTGTAAATTTGTTTTCGAACATTTACAGTTAGGTGTGTGTGTTTATGCATAAAATAGAAACAAAAGTGATTGGTTCATAGAGGTAAGTGGGAAGAAACAACATTTTCTGTCAAGTTCTATTGGAGCACATGAAGAAGGGAAGGGTACCAAGGTCACTTCTGGAAATTTCCGATGACGAATTACTTCTAAGGAGTTTGACCATGAAGTATATAACCAATGCCCGGTTTCCAAAGCACTCTACTTCCATTTAAAAGTAGCTTAAGGCATCAATTATCTCACCAAACGACTATTTGTTCATATTGGTGAATTTACCATACAACATGCTAAATGATTGCCTGACGTTCTGCAATTATATTAGGCTGAAACAGGTTGATAACTGAGACCATGCAATTGATATCCCGCGTTCATCTGCCAAGAGGTAGGATTTCAACGAAAACTTCTCCCGTGACGCAAATGCACGCCACATCCGGTATACAGAACCTGGTGGACCGAACACAAATAACTACAAAGAATCCAGTGTTCTATCGTTCATTTGGATAGATGATATTTGGCGCTCGACTGAAACTCACATTCAACGCATCTATTATCCTGTAGTTGTTCAAGACCTAAGAAAATGTCGTTGATTTCAAGTTTTATTGAATTTTCGTTCCTATGGACAACTTCTATTGCATTTCTCAAACCTTAGTTCTTTTTTATTATCATTACACCTTGCTGCTTAAAGCCTATAAATGGCTTGTACAAAAATACCCTGACAAGAGTAAATTTACCTAGGGTGATCAAACGAACGTTTCACTGATGGTCATGAGTTCATACCTTTAATTCTAACTCAATCAATCCGGTGCAAACTGCATTATTGCTATCTGTCTAGGTAAGATAAATTGCTATCCCGCTCTCTCTTTCTCCATATTGAACTATGCACATCAACTGACTAAAACAGCTCCCGGGTTCCTGTATCTGTGGTCATTTGTTTCGCCATGATCGTGCGTGTTGTTTACGAATGTTCTTTGCAGGCTATCTCGGATACGCTTTGTCTAGCTTATCTTGGAGGTGAACTAGCGGTAGTGCCTGCGTATGAGTTCGTGTGTGGTGGGACCAACACGGTGTGTGTGCTCCCGAGGACCAATAACATCACACGACAAATTAACATGCTTGAACATGACTCGGTTAACTGTTTCTCAAACTCTTTCCAACACGGATGGTACGAGCAAAACATTTTTGAATGGATGGATAAAAAACTATCCACGAATTTTGAGGTAACCACTTCAAGGTTTTGAGCAACTAACACTAAAACATGAATTGTACTGAATTTCAAAGCATCTTTTAGCATTTAAATGCGTTGGAAATGTTTGTGATAACCGACAAGAAGCACTCAACAGTTACTTCATCCAGTTTAGGACTGGTCAGTAGCGCGTACCCTATCAACTAGTGAAGAATTAACGATCTACCAAGGAGTGAAACCCACACTCAAGATCATCAACAGTACCTGGTACCTGTGAAAAACTGAATAGACTAATCCAAATATTCACCGTCTAAACATCCTTTCGCATGTATAATCAATCAACTGAGAACTTACCAACAACGCCTTCAGCTTGACTTCTTCCAGGCTCAGTGGTTGTAGCGACTGAAAATCTACACTGACTCTTTCAGACTGAAGTTGAACAACCGGAGTACCGCGAATAATCTTCTGTTCAGGGTTATTTTTTGTATGACACGATGATTCCGAGCCTACTTGGGAAGCTTCGGATACATTGAGTACACCGGTTGTGGAAAATGAACCCAGTCGCACTTGACTTGGTGTAGGTTGAGGCAGACTGTTGAACAAGTAAAAATTGCCCAATCGGACAGCGCGGGTAGTCCCAGACGCACAATCTTGACTAGTTACTTCCTTGGTGGGTGTTCTTGTCACCACAGGTTGACAGCTTGATTGATAGCGATGATAGAACTGGCCAGCACTTTGACAGCGGAGACTGTGATACAGAATAAGTTGGTAGGATTAAAAAAGGAGTCAGTAGATCAGGATACTCCGAAAGCTGTTTCACACAATTTACTAGACTGATAGTGCTTCCGGTGTTTCTTTACCTTCAAATTATGCATGTTTAGCCTGGGGTATTTAATTTGTTTACGGATCAGCACAAAGGTAAGTTCCAATGCAGCCTAACACTAAGCTCGACCGATTGGGAAGTCATGCACTGAGATTTTAAAGCGCGGGAAGAGGGGGTAGAGTAAACTGTAGTAATTTATCATTACCTTGATCGCCCACACCCTGGCGATGATTGAACCCTTCAGGTGGCTGGATAAGACCGAACCGGAGTTGGACTGTCTTTTTTTATCTGAACTAAATCACCTTAGTAACCTGCATTGATGTTTTCAGTGCCCCCGCATTCAAAAATCTGGATGTATAACGTTATAAGCAAATGAGAGCACCCTCCAGCGGTTGAGACGCGTTTTTCCTCTTCTCGGTAAACAAGTAGTGGTGATAGCGCAGTGGTTTAGTCGCTGTCACCGGCGTGCTTTGAACCCTATGGTCCGGGGTTCGAGTCCCGCCACCGCCACCCGACTTTGGTGGTAGGCAGCTCTGCTGTCGTCAGGTTCAATACCACGCCTAACCTATCGGGGCCTTTTGTGGTTCGTCACTCCAAGTCCTGGGGCTTAGGTTGCCATTTGCCACCACTAAACAGCAGGTCCTCGTGACTATGGGGTTCACCTCGTCTGCTGTTCATCACACTTAGGTGTGTAATAAAAAAAGAGGATAAGAAGGTTACACACTTGATGGAAGGCTAAAAACTATGAATGAATACTGAATAACCACGTCAATTGCGAACAAGCTTTCATTTTTCAAACTTGTGGTCATACATGTGGATTGGGACTGATAATGCAAAAATAGAGGACTCGCTGGCAGTTTAGAGAAGACTTATGGTGCTTATGAATGGTCGATCAAAAAGGATATCGAATTCAATGCATCAAAATGTACGGCCGTTTCCCTTCGCCACAAAACTCGGGTTCCTTTCTTCCTGGGAGATTATAACTTCCTTATGCCTCGAATGAAAAGGATCTTGGTATCATTGTTCAAGACGACCTAAGTTGTGCTTTAAAATGCTCAGGGGTGTCCCACACCGCTGTGAAACTTGTTGGTTTGCTAAAGCTAGTATTTGGTTTACTTGAATTTGCATTGTTCCAACGGTTGTTATGAGCTTATATTTGACGGCACACAGAGTAAGCCATTCAAGCGTGAAATCCATGGCTACAACGCGATTCTCAAATGAGATTCCCAAATGTCCACCAAGACTAGACATCAAGATGGTCAATGGACTGCATTCCAAGGTTTATGTGGAAAGAGTGGAATCACTGGAGCTGTACACCACACAGTATAGCCGAATTCAAGGGGACTTGATTTTGATGCATCACATATTACAGAACTCTGAGCATCCATGTCGCCCAACACTCACCTCAGGAGGCACTCAGTGGAATTAGTGCTCCAAAAATGTCGACTAGAATGCCGGCGTTATTCATTCGCCCTCAGAGTGTGCATTACTTGTAATTCTCTACCACCTCATGTTGTTTCTGCGCCCACAATTGGTTCTTGCCAGTATAAACTGGAAGACAAGTTTTAAATTTAGACATCGGGAGCAGCGCACAAAACAAGGATAATTTGTGACATTCCTCATCTATCCATGAACCGTGAATTGACTCGTTTGTCGTAGACCCATTGGGACAAGAAAAGCAACGGCTTGTAAGCATTTTCCATTGTAAAATTTTGACTTTAAACTTGAAAGTAAGCATCACTTAACTTCTTTCCAGATGTTTGCTTACTTGGTGTCTGTAGTTGATTTGACCACGTTCGTCTGAACTGCTTGACAAACACTGGGAGATGCGCAGCGGAAAGGCACGATAGCACTAGAGCTTATCGTTTTGATACCCGTATTTTCTTCAGATCTCAGCAAATTTGTTCGTCGGGAACTATCCTCAGAATGGGAACTCGTGGTATTCTTTCTGTTATTCTGAGAACAAAACAAAAGATTGATACGGAATCAGATAAGGTCAAGAAATCAACTCTGACACCACGAAGTCAAACGTGTTTGGTCAGTGTGTTGTAATCTCTTAGTTGGGTCAAATAGCAATCGGCAATCTTCCACCAAATGAGCTGACAAAGTGATACCTTTTCCAGTGTGATGGGCGCGGATAAGGTGCTTTTAAATACCCCGTTTTCTGGTCAGAGATAAGGGGACTTTCAGTAAGAAAAAAAGTGATGCTAAATCAAAATGGTGCATCCACATGGACAAGTAGGCCATGATAGTTGTGAAGCATACCTGTGAATCAGTCACTTCATGTTGATGCGAGTCCAACAATCCGATTTTCAGTGCTTGATCTTTCACGTCCGAGGACAACGGTTGCTTATCCACTTTGCATCTCTCGATCAGCTTCAATTCACACAGACGAATATGAGGTCCATCCAAAATCTGGAGAGTTGTGTGAATGGAAATCCGATAGAACTCAGTGTTTAAACAAAATACCGAATCATATTACTTTTAGTAAATGAGTAACTAAAATAGTTATGATGAATTAAGCGTGTATTTTACAACTGCGGGATCCCCGGTAGTCGAATTCCGAACCAGAATGCGTGCGATGAAACAAAAAAATCAATGTCTCTCTTGTTTCTCTAATCCACTGCAACTGTTTCCTTTCCATTTTGTTTTCTTTTATATCTCAATCCCACCATATGTTTTATCATTGTAGATGCTTTTGCACCATACTTCCGCACAAGCCAATAATAATGTTTATAAAACTCTCTCGGCTTGTATCAAAATCAATTCCCTCAAGAGGTTCGAGAAATCTCACAGTGGAAAATCAAAAACGGACTAATTTTTTCTTCTCGAAATGTCGGAATCTACTCTAAACCGAAAAATAAAGATAAGAAGTGACACAGACTGATTGAAAACGTTAAAGTATACCGCTTTTGCTTCATAACTTTGTTTGTACACGGTTGGTATAATTTCGATAGCCTGAGCTCTATGAATCCAAACTGGCATTTACCGATTACGCTGTTCTACGCTTATCGTTAGCTTTTAACGAGTGAGCATAATTAGGAAAAAGTGGACTTTGCAATCTTTGAATAAAAGGCAACAAAGCAGACTGGACAGAAGTATATTTTCCCCGAATACTAAGAAAATCATGTTTACGCAATATCGGTCTAAAGATAAATGAAACACTCGCGTGTGTGCTCGAAATGAGCGCCCATGGACGTCAAGTTAAATGTATAATTTAACTGTTTTCCAATAAAACATACCACAGTGGAAATTGTTACCCAATAAATAACAATTACTATAAAATGGTCAAGTGGTTTCATGTTTCTTCTTTATTAGATTTATCCCTACTTAGGCACTGATTAACGTGAGTAAGTCAATTTTTGTGTCCACAAAGTTCTTGATTAGCAAACAAATTTATGATATTTGTCACCAAAAATAAAAAGCTAAAGATCAATGGGTAGAATCCACTCAAATCTAACACAGGCTTGAGCATGAGAAAATAAATTATTACAAAATGCATGAATAATTTACTTGAGTTTTTGCACCGAACGATTTGGACCATTGATTGTGGCGTAGCAGCTCCTTCATCGGATCAATATCTAAAAATATATCACAAATTTATAAACATCAGCTGATATTCGTTCGTAATCGTTGTGGTTCACAAATTGGTGAGAGTTCTCGAATCAACTGGGAAATTTCTAAAGTCAGAGACTTTGAATTCGTACACAGGTTGAATTCGTACTTTCTTTCTATCGATTGAATTAGCCTGCAACAAGCTCACAGAGACAGCCTACTTTGTATAATGTATAATCAAAATTAAACATAGTTTGATTATCTATCCGGGGATCAAATGAGCAGTAATTTTAGGTTATATCCTTAAGATTCGGGATTCGATCCTCAGTTTCGAAAAAGCGTTTCTTCACTATGCGAACAACGAAAAGCATAATGATCACACGATGCGTTGAGTTCAACTATTTCGTGCTAATCTCATCAGCTGTGCGCTTATATTCCGATTGCGTTAGTTGAAACAGTGCCAGGTTTGGGGGCAAGAGAAATCAATCAATCAATACAGAAGACAAAAAGTCACGAAACTGAACCAGATTGAACACAGAGGTAAGGAACTGCAAGGAGAGAGTCACTTTTACCGGAGCAGTACGAGACTGGTTACGAATTCTATTTGTTTTCACAGGTCGGGTTTGTAAAGTAGAATGGCGGGTATCTTGGCGAATGGTAATTAGACGTGTTGTTTTTGCAAAACATGTTTTTATGACACTAATTGGCTATTGACCAAATCGTTCTCTAACACTTTGGTATCGTCTGAACGGAGCCAGAAAATACTGAGGACGCATAGCCTGCGCCGTCTGCACGTACGGTTCAACCGTCCAATATCATCAAACACTTACTCACTAATGAGTATGCCGCGGACTTGGGACGACATGAGGCGAGACTGGATGATGGCATTCACGCGGCTTAAGTCGTCACTGGCTTGTTTGGACCCTACGATTCGAGGTTCGCACTCCACCAGAGCCGCCCAATAAGGGTGGGAGACAGCCTCGGTGTTACCCAACTCCATACTACGCCTATGCTAGAGGGGTCTTATGTGGTTTGCAACTCCAAGTCTTCGGGCTTATATTGTCTGTTCAACGGTGTGAACGGTAGGTCCTCGGGAGCATTTGGTTCGCCCCTGTTGCTATTCATCACACACAGGTATATGTGTAATAGAAAGATTATCCAGAAATACAAACTTGTTTCCTGTTGCACGTCTATTCGATTCTTTTTGACTTTGTTTGTTCCATGCATTTTGTAACACTGACACAATGTGATTCACAGTTGACCCGCAGCTGATTTCCATCACTCTGCTTCCTTCATGTTCAATGACCATGCAGTTGCTAAGATTGAGCATTCGACGATAATGTTCGGTTGAATTGATTGATTTAGGCCAATAGGAGACGACCACAAATTGATGTTTCTCTCCATCCTATTCTCGAAAAATACGCACCAAATCATCCGTCTTAACAAAGTCCTGAGGTCTGGCCTTCTTCTCCTGTAAGTCTGAGGGTTCCTCACCGGGACAATTTTTCAGTTTGGATATGTGTTACAATGAATGCCGTTGTATATACAGATTCATGAATACTTTTAACTTAAAAATTGGTTCTACTTTTTGATGAAGAATCTACAGTGACTGGTGCTGACAGTGGTCAATGCATTGACGAAACTTTCCTCCACGACCCGCTACCCCCCCCCCTCCTTTTCCTCTAGCCCTCTAGAAGGAGAATTACTGTGATTCTTGAACTTGGTTGAATACCGTTCTGTTTGACTAATAGTTGGCATTCACGCAAACAAGAACGCTATTGTCCTTCATTTAGTTTGTCTCGTGGTAAAGATTTTTGTTATAATCGGTTATGTGGACCACAGAACGTCGGCTTTCTCTCTCACAGAATTTTTGAACACATTTTGAATCACCACTAAGTAGACTGACTGTTCACCTACCTTAATCAGTTCAAGGGATCAATCGTACACACATTGGGGAGCACCCGATTCGAGGTTTTCTCTCTCCTTGGATGCTTTAAACCCCTCGCATTGACGACATCTGTATTACCACTCTACCCACCAGCTGACCAGAGCCAGAATTATTGAGATACCTTTGTTCAAAGTTCAGCTGCCTAACTGTAAGTTTGCATAAAGAATCCGCCCACAACAAGGTAAAAATTGACCACCTTTAATGTGGAGATTCCCAATTGAGTTCCGGCCAAGTTATCCTTTGACACTAATTTTTATCCTCTTTGGTTTAATCAGTCGGCTCGCTGAAATATGGCTGATGTCACCCTAGAACTATGTGTAAGATGAGAACAACTCAAACCACGAGCGATGCCTTGTCGCTCAAATTACTCACAGTCACCTGAGAGCATTGTCCGAGTTCTAAGCAGCAAACAGTGCAACACAATGCCACTCTCCGTAAAACAAAGTGCACTGGTCTTGGTATTTCTTCTCATCTGACTTGTACCGAACATACTGTTACCCTTTGCTCGCTGAGCGACCGGTAAACTTTAGGGTAAGATATCAGTTGACGCAGACATTATTGGATTAGGTTGTAAGTACAAATCGACGGACATCGAAGCCTTTAAGCTTGGTTTGTTCATGTAATTGAAAACTGCAATCACCAGTGCACGTTACTATGTTGACTGTACTAGTTCCTAATTCCATTGATGTGAGGCTATATGAGGTCAACTGAAATAGGATATTTGTCACCTGGATACCTTTGACCGAAGTTAAAGAAATTACTGACGCTTTCATCTGCTTATCCATGACAAATAAACATCGTAATGTAACTTTCGGAGGCACGGACACACCCTACCATAATTTCTTACTACACCAAAAGAAGAAAGTTAGTGGTGCGGAAACTAAATCACAGAAATTGAGGGTTCATGTAGGTCCAGACAGTGTCACTAATTCCCCTTGAGAGAGTTGACCTGAAATCGGAAGTAAACAAGTAAGAAACGATGAAACGATATGTTTCCATGGTGAAATGAGTTTAATAAAAACCACTACATTTCCATGGTGCCTTCTAGACCAATCGGTTCATCGGACGAAGAAGAAGTGTCAGAATAACAATATGAAGAAGAAGATGATGACGATGGTGACAACGACGACGAATTTTATGTATGTTAACGGATAAGAAAAAACTGATGATTTCTTGTTTGTTTATAGCGTCAAATGAGCAAAATAAACTACAAACTATAAAATATACGGTTTTGAAGGAACCACTGCAGACTGTTTTAGAGGTTAACTATCTTTCTACTGACCGGTTTGATGAACTAATGTTGTGAAAATGAAACGTTACAATTCATCCCTAATTCATATTTGACATTGCAATAATAAACGATCCATTATGTCCTGGCCATAGAAACGAAGTTTCGTAGTGTTTGAAAACCCGTACCAACCAAATTATTTTTAGCTGAAATCCGATCGATCATGGACAGTTGAGAAAATTGGGTGATTCTACGTCACAACCACTGACTGTGTCACATTCCTCGCTTATGGACTGTTAGTGCATCTTAATTTGACGCTTTACTCTTCTTCATTTAGAGTACCATGAGCGATTACAGCATCTTACGTTCCATTAGAGTTTGTATCCTGGCCTCTTTTTTACCTTCTGCTACGCTCAACATACAATGGGTGAGATCATACTCCTCGCATTGACTACTCGTTGAATTTTCCAGTGGGGAGCGTTATCCTTGGAATTATTGACCGAGGACAATCAAAGGTTATCATACATGTATGGTCCAATCACCTTGTTCATTGTTAAAACCAAATTCAATGCCGTACTGGTAAGCAAAAATGATACAATGAACGCCACCATCTTTGCAAGCAGTTACCATTTGTTAGTATCTTTTTAACTGGTCGAAGAAAGAAAGCGCACAGTCGAGACAGATAGCACGAAGCAAAAATTGTCAAAGATTCGAGCGTTGCACAGCCTGTTGAATGCCCCAAATCCTCACCAAAAGAACTCAAATCAATCACGAGATTATTCCACTAAAAGCATCTTTATAATGTGTTGTCACATACTGAATCTTACCGAGGATTTGTCATTGATAAATAGAGGTATATAAAGTTTTCCTTTCTCTTTTCTTAAATGGCGGATTGTGGTTGAAAATGCAAGAACTGTTGCTTCCAAACGGCTCCAAAGTATTCTGTTAAATCAGAACCGGCATTATAACTTATATCAGAAAACAAACGATGCACGTTTCTCACCTAAGAGTAAAAGAGAACTCTTCCGAATCGGGTATGCGAACAAGAATTTCGACATATTTACAGGGAAGTTTACCTATACGAAGGAATGATTGAGAGTAACTGCGATGCACACTTTTGAGATGAAACTCCAGTTTCGAGTTGAATTTGGACGCTCGGATTCGCAGAACTTTACTGTCTAGTTCAGGAGCTGGTATCTAAAAAGGACAGGCACGTTACTGCGTAGCGCTGCATACAGTAACAACTTACCATAAATATTTGCGAAGCTCCAATGAGGTGACATTGTGTAAACGGTTTCTCCTTGTTGGCATCAAATAGAATTTTCCGTAACATTTACCCGTTAGGATTCAGAATTGTTGACACAGAACTGTTTGGGAAGACGAGGAAGATTTGATTGTTATTTGATATTCTGGTTGACTTCAGGCATTGTTTTCACTCGTTCTGGTAGGACAGCGTACCATCAACCTATACATTTTGACATATGACTAAAACAGAAAATTACACACTCCTATAGACCTGTTTTCGGCAACATTTTACTTCATTTTTTTCAATTACAATGATTTCGCATCTTTCGCAAGAGTCACTTCCCAGGGACCCGGGCGATAAGTGAAAAGTTGCACAGTAGTGTCGTTTTATTAATTTTATTACTGACATTTAAGGTTTTGTGAATCCGACCAACACTCCTTCCCTCTCACTCGCACACACTTCATTTGCCCATAAACACTATATGCAACGTACAACGTGCATCCTTTATGAGTACTCACCAGCGGAGTACACAACGAGTCAAATGCTGAAGATTACGAATTATGTAACTGTTCAGTACTGATGTTGGTGACGATGAGATGAATGTATTGCCTAACTAAGAAGAGTATTATAGTTTTTCCGACGGCACTACTTTATCAAGCTCAGTTGATGTAGTGTCTTCGACCTGGATCGTAGCTTTCCGCTAAAGAAGAAAACAAACAATGTCTTCGTCTAGTTCATGAGCAGAATTATGGTGAAGTTCTGGTGATTTTGACGTTGCCGAATTTATTTCTTCGTTGATGAACTACATCCCGCGGTTTAATTCGACTCTTCATGTTTGAATTATTTTTATTTATTTATTTGAACTTATAAGCGTTAGAAAAATACCTATGTGTCCGTGGTGATCCAATGCTGTTGACATTACCAGTAAAGGAGAGGCTGGATATAGTTTCAGCTCAACCTGTGAGAACCTGGTGTTCTCGAACAATCACAATCCACCTGGTTCATACTTTAATCTAGGGTCCCGCAGAACACGAACTATGATTGGTTAGCGCTGTTCGGTCAGCGATATCCTGTCCTACTGGTTAACTAATTACACTGATTTCTGCCAATAAACCGACCGCCGTTTCGGTAGGCTTGTTCCAGCTCATTGATGTCGGGAAATTTTGGTAGAGAATTAACAGTAAGATTTAAGTTTTATATTTTGATTGCGGTTTCGATTCCTGAGTTGCATCTATTACGATTAATACAGTACCGTACAATTCCGCAGTTTAGCACAAATTCCGCAAAATAAATCCAAAGTAAGCTAATTGTGGCATGCCGGGATACAGCTGTACATTTCTAAAGCTTCAAAATCCGAAGTGTCTTGCCTATGTCGTATGACATGCGTAAGAAGGCAAATGCAGCGACTCGAAGCCTCGTCGTCAAAATCGTGATAATAAATCTCGGGACACAAACACACAATCTGGTGTTTTATGCTTGCCCTTAATTTGGTAAATTTTTAACTATCATTATTGAATTTAGGCTCTGATCATAATCGGGCTGATAACTGTGGTACACAATTTTGCTTGTCAACCAACTCTTTTCATCCCATTGCTCTAACCCTAGGCACTAACTAACAACACGGTCTCAGTGAGCTATATTGCACCATTATCAATAAGTGCTTTGAAGAAATCAATCACCAAGTTGCCATGGCTCTCCAGTGGCAAAGTTACACTTTCTCTCACCATTATAAAGAAGATATATGACTGACTCATAATTATTTATTTGTTTAAACGAACTTCCATGAAAAATTTCCCTGAGAAAACTACCCAAGTAATATCTAATGTAAATGATAAACAGGAACTATCCAGCAACACAATAACGTGTGATACCTAAACCCATCACAGTTTGCTATTGTGGATTTTATAGTCGATTACGTTTTCTGGGGAAAGCAGAAGAACAATTCCAGCAGACTTTAAACGGCTTATTAATTTCGCTTGTTCGTGTTCCGCTGTTAACGCACATTTATGTGAATACCGCATGTGAAGGTATCAGTGCTGATCTTAATCAAATGCGTTTTGTGTCGAGGGAATCCACTTACGGGGCAGATAATCATCGATAGATAGTAGGTAATGGATCAGAAATACAGAAATCGCACCAATTCGAGAGTAGCAAGTATGAAAGGGTAAAAGATATATATATATATATGAAGTAAACAAAATTGTGGTCGGAAAGGAGAGACCTTGAAGTGAGCAACCACGCGGTTTGAAGTGCTATAACAGAAGTGAAACTTTTGCCATTTTAGTGAAATAATGTACGTTATTTCAAGTCTTTCTGCGTAACAAGGTATTCCCGAGGTACAACGGTCACTAGGAAAATATTGTTTTTTCTTGAATTTCATTAAGAAAACCGTTTTTTCGGTTTTTAGAGTAACGTTATACTCAAAAGTATATATATTCTTTGTCTCCGGCAGGAACTACTAGTTTATACGTAGGTAACAGTTTTCACTCTTTTATTGGCTTTTGTGGTACTGATAGTAACTATTTGAGTTATGTCGCTCGCATCCGACAACTGCTTGTCCTCTAGCTGCGGTCAAACAGTTGCGAGAGGTATACAATGCAAACTCTGCGAAAGATGGACCCATTCGAAGTGCTCAGAAATACCCAGCGAACTATATCCGCTCTACCACCAAGTGGGCCGAGTGGGTTTGTATACCATGCAAGGATGTCGTACGAACAGCGAACCGTGG